TGTCCAAGAATCTGAAGACACATTTCAGTTGGGACTCACTTTTGTTTAAAAAAAAAAAGGAGAAAAAACTAAAAAGATAAAAAGAAAATATTTTTAATAGATAAAGCTATATATTTTCAATATTTCCCTGAATCAACACATTTTTAGAAATCTCATAGCAATGCAACAGATGATAGTTTTGGCTATAGCTAGCAAAGCTATTTCCTGTTAAGCTAATGCCTCAGGCCCTGGTGTGGACTCCCAGTCTGGTACTTAGAATGGCATTGGCCATCATCAATGGTTTGGGAAACATAACTGCTGAGGAGAGTTCCCCACATGTAAGTAGAGTGGTATCACTTGAGGAACAGCTTATATTCCCTATATCTGCTTAGCTTTGGGGGAGGGAAGGAGTGGGAACATGGGAAGAACACAACAACCAGAGATCCTGTCTCAGTATTGTCTGTATTTTACATTGCTCACCACCTTTTTTTTTTTAAAAATTCCTTGGAAGCTGAAGCTTGAACTACTTCCTTTTTGAAACTTGCCCCTCATTCACTTGACTGGTTTATTGTGGATTTGTGTCAAAATTGAGTTGCTGGCCTGAACTCTCTTTTTAACAAAATGAAAAACCAGACAGAAGATGGGGAACTTTTTGAACTAGAAATGAAAAAAATATACTTCAACAGGAATCTGTTTTTTACAAATCAGCAGGGCTCAACTCATCATGCAAGTTTCCCTCTGCCGTTAACTCTGCTCCTGATTGTGGGTAGTGGATGATTTTGATTAGAAGTTCAGAAAACCTGAGACTTGCAGAAGGTGCCTCACTGGACAAAACTGGGAAGATACTTGGGGAGAGTGCCCATGACCTGTTGATTGTATGTGTTGGAAGAAGTCATTTAGAGCCCTGTTGGGCTGTCATTGAATCAGGCAATTATGTGTTCTGTCACTTGCCCATTCTTTGGTCTCTCTACTTTTTCTTTCCCTAAGCCAGGCAGGTGGACCTGTAAGAAGCAGCTTGATTTTCTTCATAACCTGCGAGGAAACATTCCTGATACATGCCATCTCCAGATATATGTTAATTGGACCCAAAGGAAAAATGCCCTTCTTTGATTATAGCTGCTTAATTATTATCTAATTGAATCCCAATGACTAAGACAGAAAGCTGACATTTTGCCTGGGTGACAAAGTGATGACTGAAGGTTATACTCTTCAGCTTTTGAATGTATTTGTGACCAGAGGGTTTGTGGATCATCTTAGGGGAAAGTCTGTTCTTTCATAGGAGTGATCCTGAATGGGTCAGTTAAGGACATTATATAGCGCTTTGCACATAGTAGGTGCACAATAAATATTTGCTTTGATTTTATTTGGAAACTTCTCTTGGTGTTATAAGTGCTTTTCTCAGTAAAGAATGGAATTTTTCTTCAGATGACTACAGATGCTGTCTAAGCTGCTAAGGATTGCTCCATTAATATTGCTCTAGAAATGGAGCAGCAAGATGGCAACTGCCAGTAAACTCAGGTAAACAGAACTACATAAGCACACAGAACCATGTGGAATCCGTGATGATGTAGCTATTGAGAGTCTACAGAGGAACCTGGCAAGCAGTGTGAGGCCAGCTACCTGCAGTTATAGTCTCAGAGAAGTAACTGAAAGACAACCCCAGAGTTGTGATGCATTTTCAGAGTTTTACAGGCTCAGGTATTCACACAGACTGAGATGGTGAGGGAGGGAGAGCAGCATGCTGTTGCATCATTGGTGTGTGCTCTGTTACCACATATTGGGGCAAAGGCAAGGGCTTAGAATAGAAAGCTTCCGTAACAACAGTGGTATCCAGTTCTTATCTTTTCATGATATCATTTGAATTTGTGTAACTCTGATTTCTTCCTGTAGCATTCAACTGTAAGAAATTAGTCTTATTTTTTTGTTATCCCAGAGTGAAAATATCCAGAGAAGAGACATTACAGATTTCTGTGAGCTAATAACCTGGTTTGGTTCAGCTAAATAAATTACAACAGAAATTGGCTCACAAAGAGATCTGGTTCTAAGCTGTCCTAGTTGCCCAGGATCTAAGAATGTTTTCTGACATGTAATTTGTCAATTAAAGGAGCAGTAGCTTTGTGATTATCCAACCCTAGATAGTAGATCTCATCTTGGCTCTGGACAGGACCTCGGAACATAATAGCAGCTGGCATTTACATGTAGAAAACACTTTAATATTAACAAAACAGTCTCTGTACATTATCTCATATGAGCTTCATGACTACCCCATGACAGTAGATGCTATAGATATTATCCTCCTGTTTTATAGGTGAGGAAACTGAGGCTCAGAGAAATTAAATGACTTGGCTGTGGTCACATAGCTACTAAGTCAGAGGCAGGATTTGACCCCAAGGTTTCCTGAAATCTAGGTCTTTGAGTCCAGTACTGTCCACTTTGACATGCTGCTTTTCATAGAATATTAGAGCTGGAAGGAGAGACACTTTGTTTTACAGAGGAGAAAACTGAGGCCTAGAGAAGGGAAATGACTTACTCAGCCACATGGTCAATGAGTTGTAGATCCAGGATGCCAATCAAAATCTTCATTCTTAAATGTTTTTTTTTTCCTGTTCTACCACATTGTCAGGCTAAGATTTTGTAACTGGCCTCTTAAGAAAAGGAATCAAGTGATTTCCCTTCACTACTTTGTGCTAGTAAAGAGAGCCATTCAAAAAATTCTGATTAAGTACCTACCATACTCACTAGGGATAACAGACAAAAATGAAACAATCTGGTTAATCAATAAGCGTTAAGTACCTACTATGTACAAGACAGTGTTCTAAATACTGTGGATACAAGGTAAGACAAGAGAAGAGTCCCTGCTCTTAAGGGATAAACAGTGTAATCAGGGGAGACTGTGTAAAAAAAAAAAAACAATGTACAAACAAGATATATACCAGAGAAACTGGAGGGAATTCAGAGGGAAGGCACTAGCATTAAGGGAGATTGGGGAAGACTTGTAGAAAGTAGGATTTTAGCTTTGACTTGAAGGAAGCCAAGAAGTAGAGTTCAGGAGGCAGTATCCTAGGACTGGGGACAGCCAGTGAAAACACCTGGAGCAGTGAGATGGAGTACCTTATCTAAGGAACAAATAGCAAGGAGGGCAGTGTCCCTGGATCACAATATGTGGGAGTAAGTAAGAAGAAGATGGAAAATATATTTGCTCTTGGAGGTGATAGGGAGTCACTGGAATTTGTTGAATAGGAACATGACATGGTCAGATTCAGGAAGATCTCTTTTAAAGCTAAGTGGAGGAAGGACTGGAGTAAGGAGAAACTTGGGACAGGGAGACCAATCAGCAAACTATTACAATAGTCCAGGTATGAGGTTATGATGACCTGCACCAGAGTGGTGGCTGTGTCACAATAGAGAAAGGAACATATATAAGAGATGTTATGAAGATAAAATCAATAGGACTTTGCAGCAGTCCTGTTGCCAGAGGGAGTGGGAGGAAGTGAAGAGTTGAAGATGACAGCTAGATTTCAAACCTAGATGACTGGGAGGATAGTGGTACCCTTGACAGTAAAAGGAAAGTTAGGGAGAGTGAAAAGTTTGGGAAAGGAGGATGGTACAGGAGATGAGGAGTTTCAGTTTATGAGGGTATCCAGCTCAAGAAGTCCAAAAGGTGATTGGAGATGTAAGACTAGAGGTTAGGGCTAGACAAATGTGAGAATCATTTGCACAAAAATGATCACTGAATCCATGAGAGTTGCTGAGATCGCCAAATAAAGTAGGGTAAAGGAAGAAGAGAAGAGGGCCCAAGACAGTCTTGGGGGATACCCACCATCAGTGGCCATAACCTGAATGAAGATTTAGCAAAGGAGACTTGAGAAGAAGCAGTTAGACCAAGTATGAGGACCAACTTTAAAAAGTAGATAGAATCAAGAAGAGTAGGATCGATGAAGCTATAGAGGTCAAGAAGGATGAAGACTGAGAAAAGGCTTTTGGGTTGTCAACTAAGAAATCATTCATAAATTTGGAGAGAGCAGTTTCAACTGAATGATGAAGTCAGAAACTAGATTAGCTTGGGTTATCCCCCAAGTCCTTTTGCTTTTGAGGAATGATGTGTGTGTATGAGACTTTTAAATCTTTAATTATATTTAGCTTTAGCTAGTACTAAAATAAACCTGCAGTCTTAGAACACATATCACCAGAAAGAGATAAATTAGGTGGCACAGTAGATAGGTCTTCCAGACTCCAAGTTCAAGGTTCTAAGTTCAAATTTGGTCTCAAACACTAGCTGAGTGACCCTGGTCAAGTCACTTAAGCTTTGCCTCAGTTTCTTCATTTGTAAAAAGGGTGAGAATAATAGTACCTACCTTCCAGAGTGGTTTTGAGGATAAAATGTGATATTTGTCAAGCATCTTGTAAATGCTAGCTGTTATTATTACAAGAAACATTCCAAGTAGCAAGATAGAAAACCAGCCTGTGATCAGAAATTGGTTGCAGATGATTGCCCTTCCCTGGATGTGATCCGTCTTAATCTATGTCCTTCATAAAATATATTGAGAACTAAACGCAATATTGAGATATGACCTAACCAGTCCCAAGTATAGCCAAACATCACATCCCCATGTTCTAGACACTATACCTCTCAATGTAGTTTTAAGATTGAACTGTTTGATGTTTTTGTTTGTTTTTAGCCCGGTATATCCCACTATTAGCTCGCTGAATTTTTAGTTCTCTAAAACTGTCAAATCTTTTTATGATAATCTGCTATTTATGCCCCCCCGCCCCGGACTTGTGAAGCTGATTTTTTGAACATACGCGTAAGACTTCACATTTATCTGTTAAATTTCTTCTTACTGTATTTGGCTAGTGTTCTAGTGTTTGTCAAGATCTTTTTGGATCCTGAATCTATTATCTGAAAATTTAATAAGCATAACATTTTCACCCAATCAAGAGCAGAATTCTAAGAAATTTATTTTTATAAGGACTTTTTCAACTTGACATCAAACCTTAATGACTGATCTTTGGGTCTGGTCATTGGACCAGTTATAAATTCACCTGATTGTCTTATTATCTAGCCCACAGTTCTCCTCCTTGTCAATAAGGAGAGCAAGAGAGGCTTAGTCAAATGCTTTGCTCAGATCAAGATAAGCTATATGTGTAGTACTCTCAATCTACCAGTTTAGTGATCCCATCAGAAAACAAAAACAAAAAACCCCCAAACAAATGAAATTAGTCCTGTTCTTAATATGTTCCAGATTTTCCCCAGGAATTAAGATCATGCTGCCTGGCCTGATTTACAGATTCCACTCTCTTCCCAGTTTATGTCAGCAACATTTCCCTAACCTCAGGTCTGTAAGTACCTCAGTCGTTCTTTACAATCTTTCAAAGATCATAAGTAGTAATTACCTCTGCCCATTCTTTCAGTGCTTCCATGCCTAGTGACTTGAACTCATCGAAAGCAGCTAGGTTTTCTTATTATCTCTTTACCTGGTATCAACTTCCTGTTAACCATTTTTGTCCCAGTCTTCTCTCTCCCCAAGGATCCCCTCCCACCCCCCAAAGTTAATCTCTTTAGGAAAAAAGCAAAAGCCAAGTAAGAGTTGAGTAGTTCTAATTTAGTCATCCATTGTTAGTATTTCCTCTAATCTTAGAAGTAGGTTTATCCCTTCTTTGATTATACATCAACAAGCTAACTGCTATGGATAAAAAAGAAAGGCAAAAGCAGACCCTGCTCTTAAGGAGCTTACTTTCTAATGGGGAGGCAAAAATAGGTACATATAAGATACAAAGAGAATAGATGAAAAGTAGCTTTAGAGGAGAAGTCTGTATCAGCTGGGGAGATTCAGAAAGTCCTCCTGTAGAGGATGATATTTGAATTGAGTCTTGAAGGAACTGGGGTTTTTAAGGGATATAGATGAGGAAGGAGGGCATTCTAGGCATTCGGGTAGCCAATTCAAAGACCCAGAAATGGGAAAGGGAGTGTTCTTTGTGACACAAACAGCAAGTAAACCAATGTGTCCAGAACATAGAATATGTAGAGAGGAGTGAAGTGAGAGAAAGGGTCAGCGTGGAAAGAACTTTACCTAGCAGAGGACTCTATTTGATACTGGAGATACTAGCCACTAAATTTTTTTTTCTAATTTAGCTTAAAAAAAAAGCAAGCCCAAAGAACAGGCCTGAATAGTTTTTGTTGAGCTTAGCCTTCCTTACCAGGGTTGACTTACGTTGAGATTAGGTGATTTTGACTCTTAAGGAAAGGAAAAAAAGATGTTTCAGAGAGGATTCCTGCTCAGTCACAGGTTGGACTAAGTGACTCTAGAAGTCCCTTTGAGCTCAAATTCTAGGTTTCTAAGAAATTATTTAGGGGCAGTTAGGTGGCACAGTGGAGAGAGTACCAGGCTTGAAGTCAGAAAGATTCATCTTTGTGAGTTCAGATCTAGCCTCAGATATACTAGCTATGTGACCCTGGGCAAGTCACTTAACCAACCCTTTTAAGTTCTGTAAAATGAGCCAGAGAAGTAAATGACAAACCACTCCAGTATCTTTGCCAAGAAAACCCCAGGTGGGGTCATGAAGAATAGGACATGACTGAAATGACTGAACAGCAAGTTAAAGGGATTCAGCTTACCTGATTTTCTTTCATTCTTAAATTTTTAAACAAATGTCACATTTTCCTTCCTGACCTCTTCCCCCACTTCCAACTCCCTAATTTAGGAAAATGTGTTTTGGTTTTATCAGATTTCCTGAATTTGGGATGGAGAAGAACTTTTGTTTCCCTTTCCACTTGCTGATGCTGCTCCCTTAATTTGTAAGTCACCAAAATGAGCATTTTGAAAGGGAATTTTAATATCTTTCATTAGAGGAAAATATAACTTTAGAGTTAAAAGGGAATTAGAACATCCAATGTTAGATGTATAAATGCCCTTTGAAGGCTACCTAATCTCCCATCCTCCCTTCACTTCACAGAGAACAAACGGTGTGTGAAGAGCTGATCATTTGTTCATGGTCACAGCTGGGGTGAGTTGGGACATCTCCTGACTCCCAGTTCAAATCGTTTCCCACTATATCAGTAAGTTACCAAGAATCTTCCAGCTACCAGTAATCAGGCATTGCTATTTTCAACTCTGTAGGGGAAATCAAGTTATGAAATAGAGCTGGTTGACCTTGTCTAAGAGTGCCAGGTATACAAAGATGTTTGTTTATACAAACTGTACCAAAGTACATTCTTCAATATTTGTTTTCCTTCCGGGGGATGGGCTTGGAGAAATTCTAGAAAAACAAGTTCCTGAAAACATACTGATCAAAATACTGAGAAGCCACAGGAAAGTCAAAGGAAGCTATGACAAGGCTGCCACCACTGTGCATGTAAGGATGATGAAAATGGATCCTTGGGTTTGATCTTTCAGCCCAGCCTTTTTTTTTGCACCAGCTACTAGTATGTTTATTTATTCAATGAGGGGTAGTGATTTCCCCAGGGTCACACAGCCAGTATATGTCAGAAACAGGACTTGAATCCAAGTTTTCCTGGGTTCAGGCATGACTATCTGGTACTCCACACTGCCTCTCCCAAGGAGTTACTTTCAGCCTTTAAACACCAACTGTGTGCAAAGTACTGTGTTACAGTGGAGGGATGCGAAGATAATTATGAGAAAAGCTCACTGGAGGAGTTTATAATCCAAGAGAGGAAGAACAAGTACAATGAATAACCATGCTGCATGGAAGGAAGAAATACGAAAGAGAGCCAGGCAAAATAACTATGAGAAATTTGCGGGGCAGAGGGAAGAAGAATCACATCTCCATTCAGTTTAACAAATATTAAGTGCTAACTTTGCCTAAGGTACTGTGGGCATTGTACATAAAGATGCAAAAGTCCCTACTCTGGAGCCCATGTTCTGCTGGTGGGTTGCAACATATGCCTAAATATGGTGTGTGGAAAATTGAGGAGGGAGAGCACCCACAACTGAAGGGATGGAGGAATTGAGCTTACTTGAGCTGAGCCTTGGAGGAGGACTCTGAGGTTTCTGAGTAGCTGGTATTAGGAAGAGAATGCATTCTAGCCACAGAAAGACAAAGAACAGGGTAACTTATTCAAGTGCAGAGACAGTGTCAAGTTTGGGGAATGGATAATCGTTCACTTTGGCCAGAATGTAAAATTTATGAAGGAGAGCAATATTAAATAAAAGAAAAGTAGCTGGGAATCAGATTGTATAGGGACTTAAATTCCATATTCAGTGGTTTGTTTTATCCTAGAGGCAATGGGGAACCACTAAAGATTTCTTGAGCAAAGGTTTCATGAAGAAGGAAGGCCCTGAGGTGGGGTTGGTGGAAGGGAAAGACTTGAACAGTTTGAAGTGGAGGTTGGGGAAGGGCAATGGTAAAAGTTCAGTTCAGGTGTTGGAGACTGTGTGAGCAAATGCAGGAAGATTGAAAAAAGCAGGATAAAAATGAAGTACGAAATAGGCTAGTTTGGATGGGATGTAGGATATGTGAAGAGGGAAGGAAAATTAGTCATCTTGTCCAATCCCCTCATTTTCCAGTTGAGGAGTGGACACAGGCTATGCAGCTGGAGTTGGTTTGTAAAAGACTTGAAATGCAGCTAGGAGTTTACATTTTATAGGCAATGGGGAGACCCTTAAGGAGAAAGTTTCTAAGCAGAGGGGGTTGGACATGATGACCTCAAAGGTCCTTTTTAGCTGTAAATCTATAATCTTGTGACTAGAGTGATGATTAGAATATTGAGTTAGAGAAATTACTCAAGGTAGCAGTGTAAAGTTTGCATCAGGAAAGAAACAGGCAGAAAGGCTGCTGTTTTAGTAAGAAGGTACTAAAATTAAATTCTGGCAAGAAGAGATGAGGGTCTGAAGTAAGGCTGTTGCAATGGGAGTATAAAGCAAAAGTTAAATGAGAGGAAGATTGTGAGAGCAGAAACAAAAGGACTTCTCAGTTTGGAGGAAGGAAGTAAAGATAATTCCAAATGTTTGAGCCTGCAACTATGAAAGATTGGTGGTGATGTTAACAGAAAGATTAGGGACAGAAAGATTTAAGGAAGAAGGTAAAGAATACTACCAGTTCTAGAGTCAGGTGACTTGGATTCAAATCCTGTCTCTGATGCTTACTACCTTGGATAAATCAGGTAGCTACCCTGGGCATCTTAATTTCCTCATTTGTAGAATGAGAGGTTTGAACTAGATGGCCTTGAGGCTCATTTCATCTCTGGACCTGTAATCACATCCTATAATAGTTCATTTTTAGAACTCTCAAATTTTAGGTTGCATATCTAGGTGAAAATAGTTCCGAACTCCTTTGCATTTCAAAGTTTTTGTTCATGTGATCTTTTCATAAGGAATGCTTGGAGACCTCTTTATATATAAATTTATTTATTTTTAGTTTTCAACATTTACTTCCACAAGATTTTGAGTTCCAAATTTTTACCCCATCTTGCCCCTCCCCCCACCCCAAGATGGCATGCATTCTGAATACCCCTTCCCTAGTCTGCCCTCTCTTCTATCTCTCCCTCTGCTTCGCTTATCCCCTTCCCCTTCTATTTTCCTGTAGGGCAGGATAGACTTCTGCACCCCATTTCCTGTATTTCTTATTTTCCAGTTGCATGTGAAAACTTTTTTTTTTGAACATGTGTTTTCAAAACTTTGGGTTCCAAATTTTCTCCCTTCCTCCCTCCCCACCCACCCTTATTGAAAAGGCAAGCAACTCAATATAGGTTATACATGTGCAGTTATGCAAAACACTTCCATAGTAGACATGTTGTGAAAAACTAACTCTATTTCCCTTAATCCTATCCCACCCCCCATTTATTCTATTCTTTCTTTTGACCCTGTCCCTCCTCAGAAGTATTTGCTTCTGATTACCCCCTTTCCCAGTCTACCCTCTTCTCTATCATCCTCCTGCTCTCTTGTCCCCTTCCCCCCCCCCATTTTCCTGTAGGGTAGGACTGATTTCCATACCCAATTGAATGTGTATGTTATTCTCTCCTTAAGCCAAATCCTATGAGAATAAGATTCCCTCATTCCCTCTCACCTTCCCCCATTTCCCCTCCACTGTAACAGCCTTTTCATTTCTGTTTTTTGTGAGATAATTTACCCTGTTCTACCTCTTCCTTTCTTCTTCTCCTACTATAATCTTCTCTCATCCCTTAATTTTATTCTCCAGATGTGACCCCTTAATCTTCAACTCACCCTGTGCCCTCTATCTATCTATCTATCTATCTGTCTGTCTGTCTGTCTGTCTGTCTGTCTATCTATCTATCTATCTATCTATCTATCTATCTATCTATCTATCTATCTACATACATATAATTTTTTTCCCCTCCAACTACCCTAATACTGACAAAGGTCTCATGAGTTATAAATGTCATCTTTCCCTGTGGGAATGTGAACAGTTCAACCTTAATAAGTCTTTTATGATTTCTCTTTCCTGTTTCCCTCTTCATGTTCCACTTGAGTCTTGTGTTTGAAAGTCAAATTTTCTATTCAGCTCTGGTCTTTTCATCAAGAATGCTTGAAAGTCCTCTATTTCACTGAATGACCATTTTTTCCCCTGAAGGATTATACTCAGTTTTACTGGATAGGTGATTCTTGGTTGTAATCCTATCTCCTTTACCCTCTGGAATATTATATTCCATGCCCTGCGGTCCTTTAATGTAGAAGCTGCTAAATCTTGTGTTATCCTGATTGTGTTTCCACAATACTTGAATTGTTTCTTTCTGGCAGCTTGTAATATTTTCTCCTTGACCTGGGAACTCTGGAATTTGGCTACAATATTCCTAGGAGTGTTCCTTTGGGGATCTCTTTCAGGAGGAGATCGATGGATTCCTTCCATTTCTATTTTGCCCTCTGGTTCTAAAATATCAGGGCAGTTTTCCTTGATAATTTCTTGAAAGATGATGTCTAGGCTCTTTTTTTGATCATGGCTTTCAGATAGCCCAATAATTTTAAAATTCTCTCTCCTGGATCTATTTTCCAGGTTAGTTATTTTTCCAATGAAATATTTCACATTGTTTTCTAATTTTTCATTCTTTTGGATTTGTTTTACAGTGTCTTCATTTCTCATAAAGTCACTAGCCTCCAATTGGTCTATTCTAATTTTTAAGGAAGTATTTTCTTCAGTAACCTTTGGGACTTCCTTTTCCATTTGGCCAACTTTTCTTTTTAGGGCACTCTTCTCCTCATTGGCTTTTTGGACCTCTTGTGCCATTTGGGTTAGGCTATTTTTTAAGGTGTTATTTTCTTCAGCATTTTTTGGGGTCTCCTTTAGCAAGCTGTTGACTTGTTTTTCATGATTTTCTTCCATCACTCTCATTTCTTTTCCCAGTTTTTCCTCTACTTCTCTTACTTGCTTCTCAAAATCCCTTTTGAGCTCTTCCAAGGCCTGGGACTGATTCATATTTTTCTTGGAGGCTTTGGATGTAGGAGCTTTGACTTTGTTGTCTTCTTCTGGTTGTATGTTTTGATATTCTTTGTCACCGAAGTAAGATAATATAGTCTGACTCTTTTTGCACTGCTTGCTCATGATCCCGGCCAATTACTTGAGTTTTAAACTTTTTGTTAAGGTAAGAGTCTGCTTTCAATGTGGAGAATGTACTGTCCCAAGCTCTGGGGGTTTATGCAGCTGTTTTCAGAGATACTTGTAGGGACCTGTAAATTTTCAGTTCTTGCAAGGTGGTATGATAAGGGTCGAGGTGTTTACTCCTTTCCTGGCCTGTGCTCTGGTCTGTGAGTGACCACAAGCACTCCTTTCTGTCCTGGAACTGTGAAGAAGGTTTTCTCTGTACTGCCACTACAAGCTTCACCATGCCAGCACTCCTCCTCGCACTGGGACTGCAGCCTAGAACTGTGACCCAGATCCAAGCACAGGCAAAGCAAGAGATTCCTGCCTCAGCACTGGCAAAGAGATCCCAGCAATCCCCCTCTGATCAGCCACTCAATTCCCCCTCAGTCTGTGGGCTGGAAGCTCAGGACACAGCCACCACTCCGGGGCCTCCGCTGTGCACTCTGCGCTAGTTCTGACCTAGCCCCTCTCTCACCGCAGAAACAGAC